ACGAACGACCGAAAGACAAATAAGATACACGCTCGCGATGAAAAAACACGTCTTTTGGTTATGAACAAAGGCTGGATGATACGCTGGAAGAACGAGTCCACAAGAAAAACGGGCGGCGAAAGATAAAACGCTTTTCGAACGGTCCTTGCGATCGTGGTTTGGCGCGCGAGAAGAGAGAGAAAAAGATCTACACAAAGAAAGGAAAGGAACGAAAGAGGAAAGTGTAGGGGCAAAGTTGCGCGCACACAGACGAAGCCACTTTGGTTAGTGATTTAACGGCCAGAAGTTATTGGCAGTGCCAAATACGGCGTTTTGCCTGGTGGAAACCGGATCGTTATATCAAATAAAAGCGGGTTTTTGCGATAATTAACGAAATTGAAATTGCCAGGGACATTCCCACGCCAGTGCGCGCCACGGTTCGAAGGCCACGGACCGGGTCTGTAAAGCGGGTAATGCTTCGGATCAGGCTCATTAATTAATCCTCCTTCGTGGAAAAAAGAAATCGACCGGCCACCAGCCTGGCTGAGCTTCTCTCGCTCGGCGACGGGAGGGAAGCACGAAAAGAATAGGGGAGAATGGGGAAGAAGCGAGGCTCTGGCACACACAAGGGTCTTTCTCGGGTTACCTGGCCGGGGCCGGATCCATAAATACACTTCGCCGTGTTAATTCCGTGTGCCGAGCAAGGGGCCGAGCCACTACCGGTATTAACGAAGTCCACGACGCGCGGTTACACTATGGGGCCGGGCTTGGTGGGGATAATTTCGAGCCAACCCATCCCAAGTCGCCGGCAATTTGTCTCCGGGCGTTGGATAAAACGTCGACGGCGGTGTGTTATTTGTAATTTGGATAACGGTACGCCGCTGCCAGAACCGCGGAAGACATTTGTCAGCCGTGTGTGAGTGTGCCTGCTAGATTCGTTTTCGTGGCGAAGCCGCAACGCGATATTTTGCCAAAAGACCGAGCATCGTCCTTTATCGGCCCCTCCTTCTATTCGTTCGTTCTCTTCTTCTCTCTCTCTCTCTCTCTCTCTCTCTTCTTTTTTACTTTCTACCTTTTGTTCGTACGCGGTTTTTCGAGCTACTTACTACGACTCGTTCCAACTCCCCGCCGCCACGCTCCAGCGGTTCCCGTATTTTTAATTTCGCTCGTGATCTTTTTAAACGCACTCGCTAATTGTATCGGACGTGGTTAGCGAAATTAACACGACGTTGCTGGCAATTACGAGGTAATCGTCCGTTTTCAATTTTTTTTTTTTTTTGGTCTTCTCTTCCCTTTGGTCAAATATTGGCCCATTGTTTCTTCCACGAAACGATGGTTAGCTCACGAGGAGAAATTCTAGGAGAATTCTTCGCGGTTCGTTTGAACGTTCGATCTATCGTTATTACGGATCGACTTGAACAACGCGTGTTGGTATACCGAGAATTGCTCCGGATTTTTGGTTATAAAGATTGTACATCGGAGCGTGTTGTGTCATGTTACTCGGCCGATAACATCGATTTCGCTCGTTGATTTCGATTTACACGAACCGACAGGCCCGCGCACACGCTGGGTAGAAATAAAACGAAAAGTATAGAAGCCAGACGTTCTCGATCCTTCAATTTCCCCCGTAATTAATAAACGTGATTAATATTTTTATCTTGTCGGCCGGCCGATTGATCGATACTTGCCCCGATATACAAATTGCACGTTATTAGCGGCCATTCGACGTTCAATTATTTCGGAGATCCGTTCGGTGTGCCTCTTTCAAATATATTTAATGGCCAGCCCGCAGCGCTCGATCATCCTCGCAAATCCTCTTCAACTTGGCGAGACGTACGTACTCTCATTCAAGCAGAAGTCAAGCTCTTAGATCTTTCGCTCTCTCGTGGCGGCGGATGAAGTGGACGTTGGTCCAGAGAAGAGGCGGTTGCCCAATGCACTCAGCCAATTATAATTAATTAAACCAGCTTCTCGACGAGTTTTCCCCGGCGATTTTCCGAGCAGGAAATTCTCGCGTATCGGCGGCTACAAATAGAAGTACCGGTCAAAGTAACATTTACATTATGGCCGACGATTTCTTTCGCTTCGTGGGCTACTTCATCGTCGTGGTTACAGATCGCGATACAGACGCGTAAGAATGAGCACACCTGTTTCCTATCTGTACGCAAATTATCACGTTCATTAGACGACGCAATCTCGCGGGTACGTTGTCAGTGAAATCTTTCGGCAGTAACAGAGGTTATAACCGCGTCCTTACAAACGCGTCTATATACACACGTCAGAGAGAGGTAAAAATAAAAATCTTTCTTTTATTTTTTTTTTTTTTTTTTTTTTTTTTTTTTTTTTCTGACAATACGTAAAACGATTTTCGAGAGTCGAATCGACGAAATAAACTGGCTTCCTTAGCGATAGAGCTTGGTAGCAGCGTCGTGGAAGAGAGGCCAGTATTCTTCGTGCGGTTGACGAGGTCGCCGTGGGTTGAGAGCACCGGCGCGGTTAGCCGCGACGACCGCAGCGACTGGTTCTGCCGCCTGCTGGCGTCTCCCTCACCCTCGCATTTCGCCGCGTACGCCCGTCTCTCTCTCGCTCCAGTTGGCTTCGTCTCTTTCCTTTCTTCACCCTTTCGATCTCTCCTCTTTACTCTCCGTAGCTGAGCGCGTCCACGGTCGTTCGGTGAGCACCGAGCCGCACCGAGGACACGTATCCACCGAGCGAACACGGGCGAACACGCAAACCGGCTGCGGCAGGCGGCAGGCAAGGCGGCTCCGCATAAACCGCAGCCGACCAAGCGCGACCGACAGCTTCGCCAACACTCCACGGCACTGCCTTATATTCCTTCTTCGCCCCGTGGAACAAGATAAAGAGCGACGCGACCAGCCGGGAACCGAGTTAGAACGGGACGGAGGAAGGAAGGAAAACGGTAAAACGAGAGTGGCCGGGCTTAGGAGGGTTGGAGGGGCTCGCGTTTCTGTGCATCGGCAGAAAAAGTTCATGGCTGGCGATAAACAGAACTACCGTCGTATCGTCACTAGCACGGCACGTCACGTATTTATTTCATTAGAAGGGTCCTGCACCACCGCCTCCGTTGTGTGCGAAGCGAGAGGAGGCCCGGTGGCAGAGAAAGAAGGGAAGAAAGAAAGAAAGAAAGAAAGAAAGAGCAAGAGAGAAGGAGAGGGGAGAAATTGTGCGGAGTGCTATTCTGTACATATGTATGTATATATCCCATCCCGCGTTCCGCGAAGCATGACAATGGGGTTTTCTAATCCTCCTTTGGATTAAGGGTCGAAAGCAGGGCTCGGTGCACAGTGGCGGCAGGGCGAAAGAGCTCCAGGTAATGGGATCGACGTTTCGTTATGTTACTTTTCCATTCTCATCCTCGGCCTCTATCCTCGACATCCCTCCTTCTTGGCTGCCCCACACAACCACGTCTGCGCCAGAGCCTTTGGTGTGTCTCGGTTCGTAGGATCCATCCCACAGAGCTCTCCTCCTTCCTACCCGGTCCGTGTTTTTCCTCATGTAGCCCCCTATTTTTCATGTTTCGCTGCGGCTTCGCGTAGCACCTTCATTCCGTATAGGAACATCCGTGGGGCTCGAACAACAATCCGCGCGGATCTGACGTACCGGCGTCAATTCAAAAAGTTTCGTTCTCATTGGCCGAGGTCGCGCTTTCATTCGACTCTTTGCGGCCGTTGGATCACACGGTGGGGCCAGCTGGCCGTCGATTGGCCAAGTCACGGCCAGACGCGTTTTGGTTGGTCGAGGCGGCACTGACAGTCCGCGCGGAGCAGTTCCTTTACGAAGCGAGCGGACGATAGCGGCAATCAAGTAGGAAACTGCTTGGGACTGTGTGCTGCGCGATATTCACATAGGGGCACCCCTTGCCACACGCATAGGATCGTACTCGCTACACACGGATACTCGAACACAATCGCGTTGGACGCGCGTGTATATATTCCATCCATAGTTTGCGATCACGCTCTTACTCTGCTCTCTCTCCCTCTCTCTCTCTCTCTCTCTCTCTATCTATCTATCTATCTTTCTCTTTCTCTCCCTCGCTCTTTCCCTCTTTCTCCGTTACTCTCACTTTATAGAGGCACGTTGCAGGGGTTGGGAAAACGGGTGGAGGCGCCATATTTGTGGTGGTGTGGGAAGTGAGGGAAATCACGAGTGGCGAGAGAGGCAGCCAGTCGGCGGCCAGTTGAGAGAGCACGGGAAAAGAGACAAGAGTGCGGGAGAGTGAGAGAGAAAGAGAGAGAGAGAAACGAGAGAGAGGAGAGAGAGAGAGAGAGAGCGAGAAAGAGAGAGTTTATGCGGACATCCGTGTCAGCCCGGTGACGGCCATTTTGCGAAAAACTTTCGATTTGTTTGCACACGCTGAGTGAACCGAGAGAAGCAACTAATACCTACGCGTATGCATGGCACGCCGTGTTCCGCGCCCTGTCCTCTCGTTTATTCGATCGTATCTGCGGGACCGAAAACTTTCGAGGCTTCCAGTCTTCGTGCTTCAACTTGCAAAAATTGCCGGACTTGTACACCAACGGAATACGCGATATCGCCCACGGGCTAACGATGTATCTTTCTCAATTGTATCTGTTAAACCGAAGCCATCGGTCGACAAAGATAATGGAGCCACAGCGGCAAGCCAATGTATAGGTGTATATGTGAAAAAAAGTATTCCGAGAACCGTGCGTTCCCTTAGTCATTGCATCGCGTACCGTGAGATTGATACTCCGAATTGTCTAGATTCCAAAGGTAGTTGAATGATGTAGTCGACAAATATTATTTGCACACACTCGTTAACCGCGGGTATCAGCGATAATGGCATCGCAGGAATGGAAAAAAACGAACGTAATCAACGTTGATAAACGAGCACCGTTGAATCATCTTTCATTAATACAGAAATAGTATAGTGGCTGGCATAAAATTTCACAACGTCGACATAATGTGAAAAAAACGCTGTCATTAAAATAATTCATAGATAGCGGAAGACGAGAGAGAACGAGGGAACAAAGAGGCGAAGAGAGAGAGAGAGAGATAGAGAGAGAGAGAGAGAGAGAGAAGACTAGAGGGACAGAGCAAACATATCACGTTGATCATGTACATAATAGAATCGATGTATATTGTTCGATTGCGCCATGCTTAACGCGAATATAACCGTTCATTTGAAACCCGATTAATTACGGTCAACTAAAACGGCCCTAAAGCTATGGCTGGGTCACTCATCGCGTCAACGGCGTACCGATATCATGATGGACGTATTCGTGCCTCATCGTTGGCCGATAAAACGGATTAAGTATACGATAGAAACGACAGGTGCTACGAAATAGAGAGTGCCAGAAAGCAAAAAGCAAGAGAGAGAGAGAGAGAGAGAGAGGGGGGAGAGAGAGAGAGAGAGTGAGAGAACGTACCGATGTTTTAACGAGCCGTGATTTTCGTGCTCGCCTTTTCGAGACCCTTACGTAACGCGACTTAATTGTGAAGGAGCTATCGCGCCGGTTAATACGAGCGTCGAGAACGAGGAGAGACATTCGAGGGGGTGCTTGGCGGGTTTAACTGTGGAGTAACGGCCTGCCAGAGTGGGGAAAGATTGCTATGGAGGGGATACTATCCCCACCACTTACTCGTCCATCAGTCGCTCCGAGGCCGTTGTAGAGAGTGGTTTGTTCTTGTTGTCTGTCTGTGCGTTCGTTTCGTGCTTCGCTTTCACGTTACATCCGCCGGTTTTCGTTCGACCGACGTTTTAATTCCCAGACGTGCGGCCCTGGTCGATGCCAAAAAAGTTCCGTATATCGCGTAACAACGGGATAGACGTGTGCGTGCTAGTGTTGGTAAACTTAACCTCAAAGTGTGGCGGCGGGCCACCGTTGCGTCGTAAACAAGCAAAGTGTAGTGTCTCTGTGTGATGGTGTTCTTTCATTGAGGAAGTGAAGTCATTGATCCGGAGGGAGTAGAAGCAGTTTCTCTTCTTTCGTTCGATCGGGAAGAAAAAAAGAGTTCTACTTGGTATATTCTTAACGCGTTTCTCGCCCTGTTTTACCGACCGGATAAAGGGCACGCCACGCTCTCCGTGCCCAACGGGATTCTTCGTGGCGTCGGCGTCACGCTTAACCTCAATGAACGTAGAAGGCGGTCGAAATAAGTGGTGACACGAGTAGTTATTGTCCGAGAAGGTGAAGTTACACGTTGCCGACGAGAATGCGGTAGTGGCGAATGGCAAACACACCGATGGATCATCTTTGTGCGTCCGAGGCGAGGACCTTCTTAAACGAATCGCATCGACAGAACCGCGGACAGAGCCGTCTTAAGGGTTGCTCGTCCTTGTAGCCCACGCGGGCGATTTGAATCAGGGTGTTTCTTTTCGTCGTTGTCGTCGTCGTCGTCGTTGTTGTGTCGTTGTGGTTACTCGTCGTCATTGGTGTGCCGTGACATGAAGTATATCGCTTACGTGTTTTGAGAACACATAAACCAGTGTTTGTATTTTCGATCAGTTTGAAACTAGAGAGAAAACATGTATCCTAGTGCTGGAATCAACGCTGCTGCTGTGGCTGCCGCTGCCGCTGCTAGGCATCCGGTAAGTAAACCGTTCGTTTCATCGATTTTGCGTACCTCATTTTTCGTCGTTCGTTTTTTTTCGCGTACGTACGCGTATGTGTTTTTCAGTCAGTTTGCGTGCACACACTTCCACTCTTGTCGTACCGTTTTGCACGTCAAAGATAATTCTGTTAACTGAATAACGAAGTGGGCTACCGTACTGTTTTCCTCTATTTGCCAGAGAAACCTTCCGTAGTCATGATTCTCGTCGCGTTACGCCTTTGTTACGCGGTTTAAACGATTTGTACCTCGTAAGGCGAGCCCGCGCACAGCTCAGGCACTTGGCTCGAGTTTCACGTGTACGGAGTTGCGCGTACTGCGCGCGATTCCGATCACGTTCAGTGGCGTAGAAACCAGTTGTAACGCCTTTCCACGATCGGTCCTCGATCAGATTACGAATTCCCTCGCGTTGAAATTTTTCGCGAACCCGCGACAGCCGATTATGGAACGGGATCGCGGTCGCTGTATTACACCCGTGGTGCACGAGGGAGCGGCGTGTTGGTCACGTCAAAACATTTCCCCGATCGAAATAGAAACGGCGGCCGATCCGCGTTGATCGGACACGCGATAATAATATCGATCTCTGACGCGGTTTCTTCGCGCGCCTCAGCTCGCTGCCACTGATGCGGTCACGTGCGTCGCACCGCACACGTTTATCATGGTACGTTCATACGTTGTACGTATAGGTTATGTACGTGTCGGATGCACGTGCCTTTCAGGAATATGCGCGCGCGCGCGCGAGTGTGTGTGTGTGTGTGTGTGTGTGTGTGTGTGTGTGTGTGTGTGTGCGCGCGCGCGCGCGCGCGTGTACTATATCTTGGGCGCATATATACATGTAACACCCTGCAGACTCGTTTCGAGATTTCGAGATATCGGTCCACGGCAAGATCGTGTTTTGCGCGCGCGGCTTCGGGTCTCGTCACGAATTCGAGGTTAGCCGTGGACCGTGTAAAAGTTGTTTCGTCTCGCTGGGCTATTGATCCGTGAATCGAAGATCCATGGAATCGGTTACACTCTCTACACGAGACTCCTTTTTCTTCACGTGTCCTCACTTCGTGAATTCTTCGTGTCCGGTCTTTAATAGCCGAGACAGTTAAAGCGTCTCTCTCGTACGTACGTAACTATAACGATGTACAAGATCGGCGAAAATTGTGCTCGCGCGCGCGTATACGTGTACCGTGGAAGCATAGTTTCACGGCAGGTTTAGTCGGTGAAATTCTTGCCGGTCGATGAACAGGATATTATAAATGAATGCCGGGGGAATGAAAAACGAAATAGCGTGACTTTGCGCGAGCTCGTTGAACGCGGGCTAGGCGCGCGATATGTTCATCGCATTTATTCCAGCGGGACGACGTGGGAGCACGGAGACAACGTGGTTGTGAATGCGATTAAACGCGCGAGCATGCGCATTAACGGCCGGCCGACGCGATGTTTTCGCGTTTAGGGTGTCACGCGGCGACGTAACAGCGAGCGGGCGCTCGCGCGCGTTCGTCGAGGAAAAATTACATCATTCACCGCGTTGCCATTATATCTGCCACGGCGTCGATAATCATAGTAATTAGAGGCGAAAGCAAAAAAAAGTCAGCCATTACCTTGTATTATAACGGTGTGTTGTCGGATGGAAAGGGACCCCTCTCTCGGATAGAATAATGAAAGCTTCATCTGGCCCATCCCTAATAACAGGCGTTACACCGGATGCGGCCTGGCGATATTGTAGCACGTGGTGAACAGCGGGGGAAAAAGAGGGCGAGAAACGACGGGGAACGAAACGAGAACGGACAAAGGAAAGAAAAAGAACAGGCTCTGCGGGACGTTGAGGGCGGGGAGGGGGAAAACAGTGCTGGCGAAAAGAGTCGAGGCTGTCCCTCGAAAAGGCGGCGACAATGTTGCGGAAAAAAGGTGGCTGCTTGCTCTGTGTCGAGTGTCGTGAAGAAGCAGAGAAAAAAAAGAAAGAAAGAAAGAGGGATTGCGTGAGAGCGAAAAGGGGACAAAAGATATAGTTGATTCGCTCTTTTACACACGCAAGAGGGAAGAAAATGCGCGTCGATGACGAAATACTGGTGGATATACGGTATTAGGCGAGCATAACCTTCTCTGTAAACCGTTGTGTACGCTCGCGACGGGCCCTGATTCGAGGTAAATATTGATGCGTTTAATCGGCCCGTTTGCCTCGACGCTTCTGTGTGAACGCGGTTCGATGCGTGCACAGCTGAAAAAACTTTTGAAAACTCGGTGAAATCGAATATGCGATACGTGTATTTTTTTTTCTCTCTCGCCCTCTTCTTTTTTTCTATATGGATCAAACGAAATATATACGTGCAAATAACACGATCGAATTTCACGAAGCAAACAAAGACATTTGACTCGACGAGCGAAGCGAGTGCGTTTTTTGTAAGCAATGCGGGAGGATAATCGTTCCGATTTGAAGCTTCGGAGCCGTTCTATGCCACGCTGCACACGCCACGGGGTAATGCGTTTTTGGTGCCGGGACACGCGAGCACGGGCGGAATCGAGTTGCGCTGTCGGCACGGAAATACGGAATCACGAGCGATATCTTGAGCGTCACGTCCTCCAGTATGCTGATGCGCTCGGTAAATTTCACGCATTATACCCCCATTATACGTTTCCTGGCCGTACGGAGTGGAATCGCGATCCTCGTGCTCCCGTTCGCGGTAATTACACGCCGCTGCTTCTTGTTCACCGGTGGGCAAAGAGCTGGAATGGCGTGGGGAGGGAATGCCGGTTGTTTTAATTATTGCCTCGTTCTACGGCTGGCCGCGTCATTGCTTTACGTTTATACCTGCTCTTCATCGTACCATACATATTTGTACGTGCACGCCCTTTCTCTCCTTTTCGTTTCACTTTGTCAGTGATTTTTCACGCACGTAGAGAGAGAGAGAGAGAGAGAGAGAGAGAGAGAGAGAGAGATTCTATCGTTGACTCGATATACCTCTGCGCGTTTTGCCCGTTGATACAATTACTCAGGTCGAACGAACGCGACGACCGGAAAAAATCGTTTCACGCGACCTACTGTATCGCGTGGAGGGAGAGAGCGTGCGTCTGACTGGGTTCGATGGAGTATAGCCAAATTGTATATTCTCCTATAACGTTTATTCGGCACCTGGGGCGCGTATTGCTTTCCCCTCCGGCTGCCAGGGCGTCTATGACGCGACATATTGTCTGTTCCATTACTCTCTGAACTGGCGCCCCTCGAGATTCACTTGCGCCACCCGAGCTGCTCTCGGGTCTGTTATTCTGCAGAGAATACGCCGGCACGACCGTAGAAATCTTGTCGATAAAAAGGAAAGAACGTTGTGTACGTACTGATAGAGAGAGGAGGGGAAGGGAGAGGCGTATCGAAGTACCGTAAAACAAAGGGTAAAAAAGCAACGAGAGAGAGAGAGAGAGAGAAAGAGAGAGAAGAAGAATAACGCAGACAGCTCGTTTCCGATAAGAACTTTCAGAGAAAGAGAGAGAGCGTAAAAAGACGATTCTCCTCGTCGATACGACGAGAATCGTACTGTGTTAAGGTTCACGGAACGGATACCGATAAAACGATTTGATTTGCTCGTGCACGCTCGTCTAGTTTTCTCTTCAGTAAGGCCGAGATAATTAAATGGACGAACGTCCCTTTATCGCCGGCTTCCCGTTTATAATTGCTATTTGTAAGAGTTTTTAATGGGTCCCTCGACTCGGGGTCGAGCCGTAGCCCGGCAGCCAGAGGGAATACAGGGGTTTGAACTCTCGGAGAAGTAGCTTATTACGTTAAATGGTTTTCTTTCCGATATTGGAGGCGAATTAATCAGCCAAGATGGAGAGCCGCGGATCTTCTCCTTGCTTTCTCACTTCGTCAGATGAAAAAAGAAAGAAGAAAACTGACGAGAGAGAGAGAGAGAGGAGAGGAAAGAAAGGGAAGGTCAGACACGGGAGAGACAGTTTTAGCTTGGCTTTGGCTGCAGGTGCTCGGAGGGGGAACGTAAATCCGGCAGGAAGGGGAGGGTGAGAGAGTGAAAGCTATAGCCGAGCGAAAGAGGCGAACGACTGCAACCGGGGAAGCATCCCTCGTTTTCTGCCGAAATAATCCCCTGACTGGCGCAACAATGGCCAGAAACGAACCCCCGAGCGTGAAGCGTAATACCCGGAGTCCTCAGGGTGCCATAAATTGGTCCACTGGGAGTGCAAAGGAGAAGAGGAGAGCCGCGCCGAGTGCTTTACCTATGGACCCCTTGTGGTTACTTTGCCATCCCTCTGGTCCCGTCTTCTGTTTCAACAAGGGACATCCTACTCGAGAAATCCCACAGCGAAACCTCGTTTTCTTCCTTTATTGCTTTACAATCGTTCTCGTGCGCGAGAACGTTCCCGTTGCGGAACCATCCTCCGATCGTCTGCACGTCGAACGTTTCGTAACTTGCAAATTCGTTTACGCGGGATGATCTGTCGCGAATTGACAATGGCAACGAGGAGCAGAAATTTCTCGATCGAGTTGCGTCTCGTTTCGTGATTTTAAAATGCTCGTAATGGCATCGTTGGGAAAGCGTAGCAATTTGGAGTGAAATTATCTGTCGTTGCTCCTCTAAATTCAAATAATCCAACGCGAAACCCAACCATGGCGAGGGGGGGGGGGGAGAGTATCGTTTGAGGGTTAAATCAGATTTGTTTGCAGTGTGTTTTACGGCAGTGGTGGTAGCGACGTCGCGGGTGCTTACACGCACAGAAAAAGGGTTGGGGTCTTTTCTTTCGCGTTTCGGCGAGACATTCGTGGCCCGTCTGTTTGTCTTCCGGCAACGCTTTTCAGGCAAATTATTTATCTTGCGACCGTGCCCCACTACAGATAGCCATGCTCTGGCTGTGGCTGTGGCTCTGGCAAAGCCAGGAGGGTTCGTTCTATCTTCGTCGAGCTTTCTCAGACACTGTCCGTTTTAACCGAGCTACAAGGGTTCCGTCGAGTGTTCGGAACATAATCCATTGTGCAGGGGCGAT